TTTGTTTTGTATGTATTAATGTATGTTACATATCAAATTTCAATAAAATCGGTCCAGTAGTTCTAGAGATAATCGACCAAGTCTGCAAATTCTCTTAATTTCTTCCACCAGTGTATATAGCCGTAAGATTCTCATAAATTACTCTATAGAAAAAAAAATATATATAATTTTATTGATGAGATTAATTTTGGGAATAGAGCTTAAAAAATAATGAAGGAAAATTATTATGCGTGTAGACAAAAACATATATAATGGTATGTACAAACTTGTTAGATTATTAAACTTACCGAGAGTTCTGTCAATAACGTATGGAATTTCGTTGTTTTGCCATCTCATTTGAGTGTATGGAATAACATTTCTGTCCTAAATGAAAAAAATTAAATTAACTGTCAATCGAAAACGTCATTTCTAGATAATTTCGTCAACCCAAGTCATAATTTTTGATGGTCCCATCGAAGCATTTTGATGGCTTATGTTGGTTTCAGGGTGATTCATGATGGTCAAACACTCTACAACATTTTCCTTTATGCGTGCATCATTTTTAATATGCTAGTAAACTTTCATCATTTCGTGATGGAGAATGCTACTTTAATACTATGATGGTTAACCATCAAGAGAAGTTTGATTCTCATGGACCAATAATGCATGAGGATCTTGCTGGTTCTATGGAATATATCATCAAAGTCCTTTGTTTTTTATGCCTGCCCACCATAAATCAGCCCGAATTCCTACATTGATATGATGGTTGTTCACTATTGATCTAACATTTGATTTCTAAGAAACTATGATGGAAATTTCTAACGGTTTAACATGAACAAACATTAAAACATGTTGCTATTTTTATGTTGGACTATCATAAATCAGTCCGAATTCCTACATTGGCGTGATGGTTAATTATGTTGGTTACCATAAGAATATATAATGGTTCATGATGGATTTATTGATGGTTACCCTCAAGATTTTGTTGGTCCATCAATGGAAAACTATCAACAATTTTGAATTGGGAAATGACATTGTTGTTTTTAAATTTTCTTCGATGAATGGCATTGTCATTTCTAGATCTTTTCGTCAATTGACAGTGTAATTTTTAGATAAATTTTGTAAGTTGATTTTGTCTTTTCTACATCATTTTGCAGAAATTACATTGTCATTTCTGAATCATTTTGTCATTGTCAGAATTATATGCGATCTACAGATAAAGAAGCTTAAAGGAATAGAAGTTTTTTTGTGTAGAAAGTGTTCTAAAAACAATGTTACGATATTACGCTATGGGAACAAATATATTTTAAACTTCATCACGAATTAAAATTAAAAATTAATATTTAATGTGATCGCAAAATAACATTCAATAACGAAATCTAAAAAATCTAATACCAAAATCTAAATAAATTTAATATCGAAATCTAATTAATCTAATTTTGAAATCTGAAAAATCTAATATCGAAATCTGAAGAGAAGTTCTCTACCTGAAAGTAGACTTAATCCGCTTGGCGCAAATGTTAAAACAGTTTCAGTATATTCGGTGACAATTATTACGAAAATATTTTTTTTTTTTTTTTAACTAGCAAAAATCATTGTAGTTATACAAATCAGTATCTAAATAAGAGGTTCATTTTTTGTAATATTTTGCTCCTTTACGTAATAAGTATTTCTAAGTTTATGCGTGGTATAGGAATGTTAAAGACATTTAAAACTGGGTAGTTTCTTTCATTGTTCAAAACTAGTTCTGAACCTTATTAGCAAATGAAGAAGGATGTTCATAATTTTCAAATAAAGTTAGAAACCTTAAACATCAAATACTTAATAAATCTTTTTAAAAATTACATTTGATTATGGTAATTAGCAATTTATTTAGTTCGATAGATTTTAAGCAAGATTAGAAAATATTTAAAAATGTATTAATATAAAAAAAATAGAATCCGTTTTTGGTTGAAATTCCATATAAAAAAGAAACTACTCCAATTTATTAACGCAAAGTAGGTTTACTAGATCTACGTGTGTGCAATTCCATACAGTAAGATTTCAATGTTTAGTTGATAATTTGTAGTGTGAAAATGTTCTATGTTTTTTGATTCCATACAAGTAAAATGAAGAAACTTATTTAACAAACAGCTTCTATTGTAATAGACATTGTCAAAAAATAAATAAATGAAACTTACACCAGGTTCGAATCCAAGAATATCTCCCTCAAAGAGATCAGGATTGTAAAGAGCCGATTGTCTGAGGTCTGAAAAATATTATTTGATATAAATTCTATACACCTATCCAAACCAGAAAACTATTACATGGAATTACATGGATTATTACTAATTTAGCCAAATTTAGCCAGTTGTAAATTTCATAATCCTAACAACATCATCATATCTATGAAATAAAAGTGTGGAGATATATGTAAATAACGATGTTTTAATAGGTAATTACCATTTAAAGTTTATTGAAACTTCAGTTCTATTTCATAATCCAAACAATATCACCATATCTATGAAATAAAAGAGTGAAGATAATGATCTAACGATGTTTTATTAAATAATTACCATTTAAAGTGTATTGATACTTCATTCGTATTCCATAATCCTAACAATATCAACATATCTATGAAGTAAAAGACTTAAGATGTATGCACAACAATGTTTTAATAAGTAATTACCATTTAAAGTTTATTGAAACTTCAGTTATATTTCATAATCCAAACAATATCACCATATCTATGAAATAAAAGAAGGAAGATTTGTGCACAAAAATGTTTTAATAGGTAATTACCACTTCTTAAAGTTTATTGAAACTTCAGCTCAATATCATAATCTTATCACGATATTTATAAAATAGAAGACAGATGAGAAACCGTTGCATATGAAGATGATATGCATTGACGAATTTGTTTCAATAACAAGCAAATGCCATTCAAAAGTTATCGAACATTCGGTTACATTTCATAATCAAAACCCTGCCATAGTATCCAAACAGTAAAAATGTGAAACGAAACTGATGCATATAAAGTTGATATGCAGGCTTCAATAAAAAGTAACTGCCATTTAAAGTTTATAGAAACTTCAATTGCATTTCATAATCTTAGAAACCGAAAGGATCAGAAGGCGAAAGAGAAATTCATGCATAGGGAAGTTGTGATATCTTACCATGGTGGGGTAGTGCAGTTGCAGCTGCAACAAGCAAAAGGCAGGCAAGTACAAACTTCATTGTTTTCTCTTTTGGTGCCAACGGAAAAATGAAGACGCAAGAAAAAAATTGAGAGTGTGGCTTTTATAACAGTGTTTGTGAATATCTTATCATTAATGGGAATCTTAACACATGCGACCATTTCATAATTTTTTGCAGTAAAGGTTCGTTTTATCTAAATGGAGCAATCATCATCCTGTTGTACATGATTAAAAATGATTAAAAATGTGCTTACATCGGTTAATTTTACTTTTTAGCCCTTATAGAATTTTATTTCAGTAGATTAGAACGTTTCCCATTCATTTAGAAGTACTGTATTTGTTTATATATTAGAAGAGAAACAACCACTCATTATGTGTCTATAAACGCTTTTTATTCACAGGGGGAAAAAACAATTCACGGATTCGTTATTCATTGATTCATCCATTCACTGATTCGTTGGCTCACTAAATAACTTGTTAACTAAGTTGCAAATCCTTGTGTTCACTAAATAGTCCATTTACTGATTCACCCATACGTTATTTTTCTCATTCACTTTATAAATTTACCTTTCGATTATCTATCTACAATTTTTTTATCCTTATTCATTCATAAAGAACAAAAAAACTAAACGAATTTTTAAATTAAAAAATTGAGGAGAATGTACGGTTTTTGCATACTTAATCTGTCAAATATCCATTAAAAATCCATTTAATGAAATAATTAATATCCTACAATGCGCCCAAAAAATATATCACCCAGAATTAATTTTATTTAAAAAATTATTATAGTTTGAAATATAAATTATATTAATCTAAACTGATATAATTTATCTAAGAAATTTTTATATATGTTCTTTTGTTTTAGTCCAATAAACCTCATGCAGAATAAAAGATTAACATATAAAGGGCAAAAGACGTTAATTCTAAAATAAATAACTTTGTTGTAGTGATCGGATTTTAATGAACTAAGTACCAAATCGTAATAGTTTAAGGAGGTGTTTTCCAGTATGATAATAGATGATAATAACTTTTAGAAAAAAATAGGCTTAAAAATTAAGTTTTTCACAATGGTATTTAGGTTCATAGGAAAGTAGGTTTTTAAAAATGCATGAGTAAAAGTTTTGAAAACGCAAAATCATTAAAAGTTTTTTGTTTTACATTTTTTTCGGTTATCATTGAATGTTACGGTATTATAAGGAATTTTAATTACATAAATTAAAGTCAGCTAAATTAAAAACTGCGAAATAGCCTTCCTACATTTTGAAAAAGCTACAATCCTCAGAAGTTTCTACATTATAAATTACTGACTGTTTCGAATACCGCTGACTGAAAATGTTCAGAATAATTTTGCTTTAGTATATTTTAGAAGAAAAACTAGTTACAATTCTCAGAACATATATGTTTCCATATTATAAATTACTAGCTGTTTTAAATACAACTGTTAAGTTAACTGATTGAAAATTTACAAAATAGTTTTGCATTTCCTATATTTTGAAAAGAAAATTAGCTACAATCCTCAGAGCCCTCGGTCCCTGGGTGCATGTTCATACAGTACCAACATTGATCCAATTTTGAGCCCAACTGAGGACATGGGAAAACTGTTGCTCGGGTAATAATAAATGAGAAAAGTTTAATTATTGTTTTTTTTTAGCTCAGATAATTGTGTTGGTATTTGCCTTTCACTGTTGCATTTGTTTTTACAGTGTTGAACAATACCCAATTTATTGATAATTTACTATGTTTTTGAAACGTACAAAGAAAGTATATTTAGCTGAACATATTTAAAAAAACACCATAAGTAATAACGTTTTTCTTTTAATCTTAGGCAAGAAAGTGAAATCAAACTATCGAAACGAATCAGCCTTTATTAATTTAGCAGTTGTACATTTTCTTGACCCTAGTGATGTCACTTATGGTGAGTCCTTGCTTGTCGTAGGGCTCAAGCAGACGTCTTCCATTCTTGGCCACCATGGTGAGGGATGTCCTGTCCCTTGAGAAGGCATAGTTACCGTACAACATAATGGAGTCGTGGTCGAAGGTGGTCAGCAACAAGTTCTCGTGGGGTTTCAACAAGGCGAACTGAGTCTCCATACCTACGAACAAAGATTCATTAAATATTTTATTTTATTACTGGCTGCCGATCCACTTTAGGTTTATCAATGTTAAATTCCGTATGCTTGTAATGTTGAACCCAAGACAAGAGAGCTCTGAATCGAGCTCTGAGACAAACTAGATTTCACAAAGGTCTTTTTGATGGAACCAATTCACACACAGATAGCAAAATAAGGTTTATTTTCACTCAGCAAAACCTTTTAATGTAATCCTAAAAAGGTCTGTAATACGGTTTACGTGTAAACCTTCTAACCTTAAAACGAGATCTGTGACAATTTGCTCTATTCTAAGCACATTACCCTAATCCAAAACCTTGGAAAACAACCTTCTATATAAAAACCTTAAATCGAGGTTGACTAAGGGTTTTCAAGCGGGAAAAAATCATTATGAAGCTAGTCTCAAGGTGAAAATAATCTTAAATCTAGGTCATTATAAGGATTCTTTTTGCTAAGTCTTGTGTGCTCAGCTAAAATCCATCTTGTCACGAAATTTCAATGGACAATGCAATTTGATCCCATCGTTAGTGTGACGTCATCTAAAACGTCACTATGGATTTAAAGGTCTGGTTTCTTAGGACAAGCGCCTTATTGGGAGTCAGCGGGACGTCAACGTCCCGCTGACGCCAACAAAATACTGGTTTGTTAGCTCAAGGCCTGAACTCCTGAAACTTTTTGTTTAAAAAGTGGACCTATTACATCATCAAAACTTGATGTAATGGTATTTTTCATTCATGCATATGAATTTCGAACGACATGAATCCCTCGTAAACGTATCCTGTTTTGATCTTCTCTGCAACCATGTTGTTTATTAGTTTAGTTTTTTTCCTTCATATTTTAATTGGAAATTTAGCATTTTCAGTTTCAAATCTCTTTTCCTCAACCTATTTTCAACCTTTATATCAAATAAAGAAACTTTTGGATGTTTTATTCCTCCTTTATACTAACTGATAATGATTAATAACGTTTCTTCTACAAAAGTTAATATAGCGAATACTACAAATTCCTAAATATTTTTTTAATTGTTTGGGCCCCTCCTGGAGGCAGCTGTTGATCGAGCAGGAGAAGATTTTCGATGTTCTCAGGCGTCAGGGTCTTTTGGACCTGGGGTAGGCATTCCAGCTGCGATGTCTCAGGGGATAGAGCGTTTGCCTTCCAATGAGGTGAAGCGGGTTCGATTCTGGCGATGGATAGTCGATATGAATTTCGCATTCGGCTTGCACCAACCACAGTGCTGACGTGAAATATCCTCAGTGGTAGACGGATCATGGGTAAGAGTCCCCTTGCCGTCAGGCTAACCGTTAGAGGTTCTCGTGGTCATCCTTTCCATGTAACGCAAATTCGGGTTAGTTCCATCAAAAAGTCTTCCACGAAGGCAAATTTCTCCCAATACTTGATCCAGGAGTTCCCTTGTCTTCTGGATTGGGTTCAAAATTACAAAGGCTACGAAGTTGAACATTAGAAGTCGTAAACCTAAAAATGGGGTCTGCTGTTCAATGGCGGTTATAAAAAAAAACCCAAATATTTATACTAAGGACGATGATTCGAAACACCCCAAAGTGGGAATTACCTGATTGAATGTTCTGCCAATAGATGGTCAAGTACTGATCTCTGTCTGATCTGTTCTGTTCGTGGAAGAATCCGATGGCGTGTCCCAATTCGTGGACAATGGTTCCCTTGTACAAGCAACCGGGTCCAAGAGATAGTGGCTGCTCACCACGGTTAATCATACCAACGTATGAGTAACATCTGCAATTGTAAGAAGCATTGTTAAAAGTTGGCATTTCATTTCTTCATTACACTTCATAAAATATTAGATCGGGGGAAATGTTTATGTTCTGGAACATTATTAATTGCCTAAAATTTCGAAGCAAGGCGATATATTGTTAGACAGCGATATTGTTAGGCATCGAAATGTTGGGAGAAACTAACGCTCGCCACTAGCCACAAGGCGACTAAATATGATTGATGGCGATTAAAAAATGGTCTGTAAATCGCCATTTTTTTTTCTCGTCAAAAATGTCCTTTTTGCTTCTATTTTTTCTGAATGAAAATGTAATTAATTCGAACATTTCATGACATTCTTAAAATTTCTCGCTCGTTTCTTAAAACTTTGTTTCAAAAGAAGCTCCTAGCATGCTACATTTTACAACACTTTTTTAATCGGTTAAAATTTTAAATTTTTTAAAAAAGTTTCTGCTTTTTAAGAAGTGTTCTTTGTTGAATGTGCTACAGCTGACCAATGTCCAGTAGCACTTTTTTTATTTTGCTCAATATATCAAGATTACGCTACGTTGAAAAAAGTATTCTCACGATAAATGAATATCGTGTCTTGCAATAAATATAAAATATACGATGATTATCGACTTCAATAATATCGACATTATTACAGTCAATATCCAATACGATAATGTCGCGACTAATACCAATAGTGATGTATATCGAAAGGGGTAATATCGAAAATATTCCCTAATAACGATACTTATCGAATATGATGTTTATCATGAATGTTGAACAATTTCGTATGGGCAACAAAAATAACTATTAGTGTTAATGTAAATGTAAATTTTTTAACTTGGAAAAAATATCGATATATAATGATAAGCCCTAACGACATATCGTAATATTAAATTTTAGATTACATCGCGTGAGGTTAATATACATACCCTTGTCCAGAGAAGAGCTTGATGTAGTTCCTTTCAGTAGTTCTTGGTTTGAATCTCAAGCAAGTGTTGATATGATAATCATTCATTGCAGACAAGATCAAAGCCTGTTGGGTGGCTGAAATGCGTAATTCACTTTTTAGTTTTCATTAATTTCTTGACATTACCCATTCAAAAAATAAATAAATTATACATAATACAGTAGAATTTAATTGTGCTAGAAGCTAGACTAAAAGCACTTATTTTTTATTGTATAAATTTATTCAAAAATGATTCTAATTTGTTCTTAATTTTTTTCGAATTTTGTTTGCATGAATTTCAAGATATTACTCTTTTTTATCAGTTTTTCAGTATATAATTTTTTTCTTTTAAGATGATATACTTTATTTTAAAAAATAGGATGTTTATTTTTCTTTACTAATATTCTGGTTTGAAATAAAATTTAATGCAGACTCATACTAAAGATATTCCGCACTTAAAAAAAAAAATTCAAATTTTTTGTAGTTTTTTTTTCTACAGTTAAAAAAAATCTAGGAAAAATTGAGGTATTTGGAAGGTATACCAATTTCTAGGCATTTTTTCGCATTTTCTGAAAAATTTAATCTGTTAAGTCTGTTCTTAACTTTTTTTTTTTAAAAAAAAACTTTTTATATAAAGCAAAACACCTCTTAACTGTCCAGAGTGTTCTTTTAGTGAGTAAAATCTTTTGCAAAATGAGCAAAAGTAGGGCAATTATGAAACTCCAAAATACCCTTCGATAATTTCTTTGCGAAATGGTTTACAGAATGATTCTCACAGTTTTGTATGAAAAATTAAAATTTTCTACTAAAATGAAAATAAAATCTTTATATTGTGAAAAATTCAATTAAATGAGTTTGTAAAACATATTTTTTTAAAGTTCTAACTTAAGCCATTTGTAATTTCGCATTTATCATTCAATATTTATATTCTGAAATTATATAATAAAAAATCACACTACATAATTCCAAAATTAAATTTACACGTGTTGCTGTTTTTGTAGGAGACAACTCGAAAAAGTAATCGCAAACACATAACCGATAGGTAGAAGGTGAGAGATTGGGTATCAATTATGAATAGAGGAACGAAACAGACTAGTTTGAGGTACACATATGTAAAATTTTGATCAGCTAAATCTCATCAACCATGACCCAATACTAAGAAAGCTTTTTAAACTCGAAACCTTTCTTTTAGGCCTAAAAAACTGAACTACAAACTGCCTGAAGTCCATTTTAATTACCAATTAAACGTGTCAAATAAATGTAAAGGCTAACAAGTAATTACACTGGGGTAAGAAATTAAGAAAATTTGCAGACATGGTCAATTATCTCTAGAACTACAGGACCGATTTTAATGAAATTTGATGTGTACGTACATTTATACAATGCAAAACAAATAGCCATTCAACAATTGTAATACACACTTACGATCGCATAACAACCATTGGAGTTGGAAGGTATGAAATTGCCACAGGACAATTTAGGTCAATTGCCACAAGAAATGATAATCTGCCTTATTTCAAGTATGAAATCATGCTGCAAGGCCTGCATATCTGTAAGAGAGGTATATCTATAACCCATTTTTTTTTTGTTTCTTCGGCAACTGCTGTTTCATACCTTCCGACTTCTACGAGTGTTACGCCCGATCATACGTGTGTATTACAATTGTTGAACGCTTATTTGTTTTGCATTGTATTAATGTATGTTACATATCAAATTTCATTAAAATCAGTTCAATAGTTCTAGAGATTATCGACCAAGTCTGCAAATTCTCTTAACTTCTTACACCAGTGTTTTTAGCCGTACGATTCTCATAAATTAATCTATAGAAGAAAAAAAATATATAATTATATTGATGAGATTAATTTTGGGAATAGAGCTTAAAAAATAATGAAGGAAAATTATTATGGGTGTAGACAAAAACATATTTAATGTTATGTACAAACTCTTTAGATTATTAAACTTACCGAGAGTCCTGTCAATAACGTATGGGATTTCGTTGTTTTGCCATCTCATTTGAGTGTATGGAATAACATTTCTGTCCTAAATGAAAAAAATAAATTCATAGTCATTTTGTCAATAGAAAATGTCTTTTCTAGATAATTTTGTCAAATGACGTTGTTTTTAGATCATTTCGACAAATGGCATTGCCATTTCTATATCATTTCGTCAATTGACAGTGTCATTTTCAGATCTCATTTGCAAGTTGATACTGTCATTTCCACATCATTTTGCAGAAATTACATTGTCATTTCTGAATCATTTTGTCATTGTCAGAATTATATGCGATCTACAGATAAGGAAGCATAAAGGAATAGAAGTTTTTTTGTGTAGAAAGTGTTCTTAAAACAACGCCACGATATTACAAAACAACGCTATAGGAACACATATATTTTAAACTTCATCACGAATTGAAATTAGAAATTATTATTTAATGTGATCGCAAAATAACATTCAATAACGAAATCTGAAAAAATCTAAAAGCGAAATCTAAAAAAATCTAATATCGAAATCTAAATAATCTAATTTTGAAATCTGAAAATTCTAATATCGAAATCTAAAGAGAAGTTCTCTAACTGAAAGTAGACTTAATCCGCTTGACACAAGTGTTAAAACAGTTTGAGTATATTCAGTGACGGTTATTACAAAAATGTTTTATTATTTTTTTTAACTAGCAAAAATCATTGTAGTTATACAAATCAGTATCTAAATAGGAGGTTCATTTTTTTGTAATATTCTGCTCCTTTACGTAATAAGTATTTCTAAGTTTATGCGCGGTATAGGAATGTTAAAGACATTTAAAACTGGGTAGTTTCTTGCATTTGTCTTTAACTATATTTATTTTAATCAGTAAGAACGAATCTAGTTCTGAACCTTATCAGAAAATAAAGAAGGATGTTCATAATTTTCAAATAAGGTTATAAACCATAAAAATTAAATACTTAATAAATCTTTTTAGAAATTACATTTGATTATGGTAGTTAGCAATTTATTTAGTTCGGTGAATTTTAAGAAGGATTAGAATATATTTAAAATATATTAAGGTAAAGTAAAATAGAATCCATGTTAGGTTAAAATTCCATATAAAATAAAAACTATTCTATTTTTTTTTCCTATTTGATTAACGTAAAGTAGGTTTACATGATCAATTTCATGCTAAAAGAATTCAAAGTTTAGTTAATAATTTGCTGTGTGAAAATGTTTTATGTCTTTTGATTCTATACAAGCAAAATGAAGAAACTGATTTAACAAACAACTTCTATTGTAATAGACATTGTTAAAAAATAAATAAGCGGAACTTACACCAGGTTCGAATCCGAGAATATCTCCCTCAAAGAGATCAGGATTGTAAAGAGCCGATTGTCTGAGGTCTGAAAAATATTAGTTTATATGAGTTTTATACACCTATCCAAACCAGAAAATTTTTACATGGAATTACATGGATTATTACAAATTTGGCCAAATTTATCCAGTTGTTATTTCATAATCCTAACAATATCATAATTTCTATAAAATAAAGGAATTCAGAACATATGCACAACAATGACTTCATAGGTAATTACAAGTTAAAGTTTATTGAATCTTCAGAGTTGTATTTTATAATCCTAACAATATCACTATATCTACGAAATAAAAGAGTGAAGATATATGCATAACAATGCTTTAGTTGGTAAATACCATTTAAAGTATATTGAAACTTCAGCTGTATTTCATAATCGCAGCATTTTCACCATATCTATGAAATAAAAGAGTGAAGATAACGATATTACGATGTTTTATTAGGTAATTACTATTTAAAGTTTATTGAAACTTCAGTTATATTTCATAATCCTAACAATATCAACATATGTATGAAGTAAAAGAGTGAAGATGTATGCACGACAATGTTTTAGTAGGTAATTACCATTTAAAGTGTATTGAAACTTTAGGGTTGTATTTCATAATCCTAACAATTTCACCATATATATGATATAAAAGAGTGAAGATATATGTATAACTATGTTTTAATAGGTTATTACCACTTAAAGTTTATCGAAACTTAAGATGTATTTCGTAATCTTATCGCCATATTTATAAAATGGAAGCGCGATGAGAAACTGATGCATATCACGATGATATGCATTAAAGAATTTGTTTCAATAACAAGCAAATGCCATTCAATGTTATTCGAATATTTGGTTGCATTTAATCTGTCATACAATCCAAAAAATAAAAATTTAAAAAGAAACTGATGCATATAAAGTTTACATGCATGTTTCAATAAAAAGTTACTGCTATTTAAAGTTTATTGAAACTTCAATTGCATTTCATAATCCTAGAAGACGAAAGGATCAGTAGGCGAAAGAGATACTCATGCATAGGGAAGTTGTGATATCTTACCATTTGTGGGTAGTGCAGTTGCAGCTGCAACAAGCAAAAGGCAGGCCAGTACAAACTTCATTGTTTTCACTTTTGGTGCCAACGGAAAAATGAAGACGCTGGAAAAAAATTGAGAGTGTGGCTTTTATAACAGTGTTTGTGAATGTCTTATCATTGATGGGAATCTTAACACATGCGACCATTTCATAATTTTTTGCTGTAAATGTTCGTTTTATCTAAATAGAGCAACTTCATCATACGGTTATACACGATTAAAAAGGTTTCAAAATGTGCGTAAATCGGCTAATTTTACTCTTTAACCATTATAAAAATTTGTTTCAGTAGATTAGAACCTCTCCCATTTATTTATAAGTACTGTATTTGTTCACATATTAAAAGAGAAAAAACCACGCATTATATATAAATAAACGTTTTTGATTCACAGAAAAACAATAACGACTATTCCCGAACTCGTTTGTCATTGATTCATTCATTCACTGATTCGTCTGTTCACTAAATAACTTCTTGACTAACTTGCAAACTCATGCGTTCACTGACTAGACCATTTACTGATTCACCTACGTTATTTTTCTCATTCACTTTATGAATTTACCTATTCGACATCTTTTTATCTCTTTATTCGTTCATAAAGAACAAAATAAGCTCATTAAATTTTAAATATTAAAAAATGAGGAGAATGTATGGTTTTTGCATACATAATCAATCAAATATCCATTAAAAAACCCATTCAATGAAGTAATTAATATCATACAATGCACACACAAAAAAATATCACCCACAATTAATTTCATTTAAAAAATTATTATAGTTTAAAATATAAATTATATTAATCTAAAGAGAAGATAAAAGAATAAATATATATTAATATAGATTTTTGTAAATGTTCTTCTGTTTTTGTCCAATAAACCTTATGTTAAATAAAAGATTAACGCATAAAAGGCAAAATAAATTAACCCTAAAATAAATAATCATCTAATGGTAGTATTTTAATGGACTAAGTACCAAATCATAATAGTTTAAATAGGTGACTTTATGATGATATATAATAATAATAACTTTTAGAAAAAAATAGGTTTAAAACTTAAGTTTAACCCAATGGTACTATGGTAATTAGGCTTACAGGAAAGTATCTTTTTTAAAAATGCATAAGTAAAAGTTTTAAGAATGGGAAAGCATTAAAAGTTTTTTGTTTTACATTTTTCGGTTATCCTTGAAAGTTGAAATATTATGAGGAATTTTAATTATATAAGTTAAAGTCAGCTAAATGAAAGCCTACAAAATAACTTTCCTACATTTTGGAAGAGCCACAATCTTCAGAAGTTTCTACATTACAAATTACTAGCTGTTTTAAATACAGCTGATTGAAAATATTCAAAATAATTTTGCTTTAGTATATTTTAGAAGAAAAACTGGCTACAATTCTCTAAACATATATGTTTCTATATTATAAATTACTAGCTGTTTTAATTACAGCCGTTAAGTCAGCTGATTGAAAATTTACAAAACAGTTTTAGGTGTCCTATATTTCAATAGAAAAACTAGCTAAAATCTTCAGAACATTTCTGTATCTATATCAGGAGTTTCCAACTTGCATTAGGCCTGGGGCCACAATTAAAAACACCAGTCAAATGGCGGGAAGCAATTTTATCAAAATTTTATATAGGACTCTTTTATGTTTGAAGGAACATTAAATATTACTGTCAGATTTTTATCACGTTGAACGAAACAAAAGTATTGAATTACAAATTAAAGTAAGAAGTAGATTTTTAAAAATATTTAATTGCATATTAAAAAATTGTGATTACAATAACTTTCATTTTCACCATGTATTAAACAATTAATGTGCAACAGATATCTAATTGTCAAGATATAAAACTTTAAAAAGGTTGGTATTAAAACTTACATAGTATCACACAAAATGTTCAATGAGAGAATTGAGGTTTGTATGCTGTAACCACCAGAGAATAGATATTTACATTTAAAATTTAAAATTTATATATATAAATAATTTCGTCCAACATAAGTGGTTTCAAAAAGTTAAATCGGAGAATTTTTTGGAAAAAATTTCTGATAAGCACATGCTTAATTATACTCACAAAATACAAAAAAGAAACGAAATAAAATGAACAACATACACAATAATTTTTGTATTTGAATAAATATTTTCTTGGATGCAAAACCTGAAAAATACATTTTCTTGCACCGTTGGTATGTTAAATTTCACAGAAACGAAGAAATTGGGGTTTTTTTAACGAGAAAAGTATTTTAAACACATAGATTTTTTACAAAAATTGTCCGCAAAAAATGATAGATTTAGTTCGTGGGCCTCAAAGAAAGGCTTCGCGGGCCGCATCCGGCCCGTGGGCAGCCAGTTGGTAACCACTGCTCTGTATTATAAGTTACTAGCTGCTTTAATTACAGCTGTTAAGTCAGCTGTTTACTAATTCACAACAGAATTTTTTGTTTTCCATATTTAAAAAAAATAGTCCAATTCTCAGAACATTTCTGTTTCTATATTATAAATTACTAACTGTTTTAAATACAGCTGTTAAGCCAGCTGATAGAAAATAATTTTGTGCTTTCTATATTTTAGAAGAAAAACCTGCTGCAATCCACAGAACATTTCTGTTTCTATATTATAAATTACTAGCTGTTTTAAATACAACTTTTAAGTCAGCTGATTGAAAATGTATAAAATATTTTTTTTTGTTTCCTATATTTTAGCAGAAAAACTAGCTACAATCCACAGAACATTTCTGTTTCTATATTATAAATTACTAGCTGTTTTAATTACAGCTCTTAAGTCAGCTGATTGAAATTGTATAAAACAATTTTCCGTTTCCTATATTTTGGAAGAAAAACTAGCAACCATCCACAGAACATTTCTGTTTCTATATTATAAATTACTAAGTCAGCGGAATGAAAATGTTCAAAATAATTTGGCCTTTCCTATCTTATATAAGAAAAACTATAAGAAAAGCTACAATCCTCAGAATATTAATCCTCAAAACATCAGAACTTTTTAAAGAGATGTCAACATCTGTATTGTCTGTTCTTTTTTTATATTTAAATTATTTGATTGATGTTCTGACATTTTAGAACTGTTAAAGTTTTCTGTTAGGGGTTGCAGCTGACATGTACAAAGGTGTTGTATGCCCGAGAGAAGCTCCTTGATTAAATGAACCTAAAAAGAAAATTTGCATCAGTGGAGAGAAAAAAACAAATTTATTTCAATTGAAACAAAATGAGGAAAAAACATTAAAAAATTGTGATCGCTTTTCGGCGATCACAGGCTACCCATTGGCAAAATGGTTGTCGTCTAATTTTATTTTTACCCTCTTTATTTGCGATATTCACCTGAATTGGTACTCAAAACAATCCAGTTTGAACTGGATCGTTTCCATTAGAATTTCTGATTGTTAATTCAAGCAATAAAACAAAAATATCGTTCAAATGATGAAATTCTCTTTTATTCATAACTCAAGAAGTATTTATGGGATCTCTCTAGTCTCATATCTAAAAAATAAACTCACAAACTTAATGCATAAAAAAATTAAGAGTGAAAAAAAAAAGAATTCTAAAAAAATTCTTAAACTGCAGCTGTCGCTATAGCAACGCATGCAAAGACGACGCATGCGCCAAATATTTATCTAAATTAATTTTCGTATAAAAATGAGCAGAAATTACTCTGGAGTAAAAATTCATTAATAAAGTAAAAGAACATTAAAATTTTATTTGAATTTTATTATAAGATTTGTTCGAAAATCACACATTACTCTTCAAAATCTAAGGTATTAATGTTAGAAAATTTAATTTCCTAATAAAAATTAAAGTAATAGATCAACGAATGGATTTAGGGGCCTATTTCCCTGTACGTCACGAACTTAGATACGCTTTACAACTGTTTAACCTCTACTGGCATTTTGAAATTCGAAGTTCGGGTAAAGATTTGAATGCTCAAAATATCAGAACAAATTACGCGGGATTTCTTTGTAATCCTGCAATTTGTTTGTATTTTGATATATTTTTTCAGCGTTTGAAACTTTATGGTTTACTTTGAGGTTAACCTAAACACACTTTTTGGATAATTTAAAGCTTGAATTATTTATGAGGGAGGAAAGAGAATTTGACATGTCTTCTGAGGTATAACGCCCTCATAAGAAATATGGACTTAATAAATAAAACCACTTTTTAAATTCGATTATATTAAAATAATGTTTTTTAATAAAAGTCTGATGTTGTTTTTGTAGTTTTTCCGATTATCTGGATACTTTTAATATGCTTTTTAATCGTTTAAAAAGCGAAAAAAAGTTTTTTTTACTGTCATTTTAAATAATTTTATCTTATTTTATTTATTTTCTCTTTTTGTGCCATAGACCATTGTGCATCGACGTATTTACTTAGCGTGCTTATTTTGAGAATAAATAAATAAATGAAAAGCAAGATACATTGTCATAAATGCCAAAGGAAGAGCCGGGATGGCTCAGGGGAGAGAGCGTTCGCCTTCCAATGAGGTGAACCGGGTTCGATCCCAGAGATGGCTGGTCGATATGAATTTCGCATCCGGCTTGCACCGACCACAGTGCTGACGTGAAATATCCTCAGTGGTAGACGGATCTTGGGTTAGAGTCCCATTGCCGTCAGGCTAACCGTGGGAGGTTCACGTGGTCCTCCTCTCCATGTAACGAAAATGCGGGTTAGTTCCATCACAAAGTCCTCCACGAAGGCAAATTTCTCTCAATACTTGATTCAGAAATTCCCTTGTCTTCTGGATAGGGTTCAAAATGACAAGGCTACGGAGTTGAACATTAGTAGTCGTAAACCCAAAAATTTGGGGAGGCTGTTCAAAGAAGGATACAAAACTATTAAATGCCAAAGGAAAAAAACAGACCACTTTGAATAATCAACTTTTTATTCACGCTCTAGGACTCAATCTTAATGGTTCGAAGGGGTGACCTCAAATATGCTAATTAATAACTGAAAACGATTATTTAAACTACGCCATTTTTAAAATTCGATTTCTCATGAACTATTCGACTGATTTTGCTCAAACATTGCATTTTGCCATACAAAATTAGATTCTTTAAAATTGTGTGAAAAATAATCTACCTTGCAATTCAAGCTTTTTTCGAACGTTATTAAATATAGTAATAAAAAGTAATAAATATTTACTATAAGTTATTATCTACATGGAAAAACTTTAAAGAAACGAGTTTTATAATTGTGTGCAAATATTTTTCCACTTGCTTAAAAAGTTCTCGAGATATGACGAAATATGTAAGAAATAAAATTGTCATAAAGGACCATACTTCCCAAATTGCGATCAAGAGTTCGTGGGTTCGATCCCCACCGGCCGAAGACTACTGATGCACGTTAAATCTGTCGAGTCGTTAAATCTGCTCTCCATATTCCCATAACAAATCAACACCTCTGGCGGTACTGATCCTGGAGTTGGGACCTTGTCCTCTGGATTGGGTTCGAAATTACAAGGTTGCGGAGTTGTACATTAGTAGTTGTAAACCCAGAATTGGATCGGCTGTTCTACGACGGATATAATAATATAGTATAAATCTCCTTGGGATATATATATATATAT